TTTTTAAATTTCAAGGGTGGACTCAAGCAGTATTTCAATCAGCCTGAACTAAAAGATTGACATATCGACTTTGCTATGTTAGCACTGCTATTTTGTCACTCTTGCTATGTTAATGTGATGAGAAAAGCAGCAAATAACTGGGCGGCTGTATTGTGTTATACTATATTGTTTTGCACTATATTTTGCTCTGTTGTATTGCTAGATCATCCTGCATATTATTTGACATGTCATACTTAGTGTATTTGAAAGGCTGTCGAGTTTGGTATTGTATGCTATAACAACTGTGACACACCTCTGTAATGGCCTGAAGGTCAACAGTATGCTGAAATTAATAAATACAACTAGCAGATATAAGTAGCCTAACTAGAACTTAGGTGGACACGAATAGCCCACTTTTTTTTTTTTGTTACAAATCTCAGGCTATGCCTATGAGTGCGCAGTGCCATGTGTAGCATGCACGGTGCTATGCGATCCCGACGTGTTGACGCACTGCGGGCACAATTGTGTGTTCATTTAACGTGAATTGCCACGAATTAGTTAGACAGGTCATGAATTGAAGTTATTGTCAATAAAACACATCTAACATTTCTTAAACTTAGAACACTTACGAATTGACTGTTTCTTCTAGTTCCTTGTCCAGCATTTTTCCATACTACACAAAGAACTGTGCTTTCAAACATGCCTAAGCACGTCAAAGAAATGAAAAGTAGACATTTCGTGACTTTAGTTCATTGAATCGTCCAATTAACAAGTGTGACATAACTGAGGAAATCTGCTTTGCTTAGTTTGTTCAGATGTCTTTCCTTTAGATAACAATGTATTACCCTTTAAGGAACAAGTTGTGAATTCGTTTATATTTTATGCTTGTTAAGGTGTTGAGCAGTAGTAAAAAGCACAAGTTGCACAGTACATAAGTACAGCTTGTCGATAAGCACAGCTTGTTAAACAAGCACTGTGTATGTTTTCAACATAAACACGCAAATCGTGATAATAAATAAATAAAAATGAAAAAAACTTGACTCCCTCTAATATTGCTTATGCCACTTTTAAATTGGGAATCATCACATTTCTGAATATATGCAAAAATTCTGAAGCAAGTTTCACGGGAATGCCAATACGGCACAGGTGATTAGCTGGAACAAGGACAATAACATTTTCTATGGCACAGAACTCGCAGGATTTCCAAACAAAAGCCTGAGATGGATGGCAAAAAAATTTTTGCTGCATGATATTTGAAAAACTTAACTGACAAGCTGACACCTTTGCCTTTTCAAAAAAACCTAAACCTAAAAATACCTAAAGACTAGTGCGTACGCTTTCCCGGAAAACGTAGCGCTAGATTGGATCATGATGCCCCCATTAAACCTTTCAACGCTTGCACTTACATCTTTCAATGGTCATTTTTTCCAGGTGCTATACAACGATGGAATCACTTACCCCATCATGTTTTTATAGTACCGATGTGCAATCTTTTGAGAGAAATTGATGCTTATTTTGGTTTCTTGTGTGCATTGCTATTTGAGTGCCAGTTGTATTGGTTTTCTGTTTCTACTTACTATTGTACTCCCTCTCTATTATGACCCTCAAGCGAGGGTTGACAGTATTATTAAATAAAAAAATAAAAGATAAACAAAGAAAATTGAGACACAAAGCAGGTAGTTTTCAGGTGAAGTACAATACTTCACATTATTAGAACAGTGTTTCAGGACAGAGTTCGTTTAATACAATTTTGGCATATACATAAATACATAAATATAAGTAAATCACTCGCACCCTACACACACATGGCCAATTGCTATACTTTGTGAGAAAGATAGACAGATCTTGTGCCTTGCCTGCAGCTGTGTAAGTATCATGCCTGTCTCTGCTCTATTAACAGATTTCACTGGGGCATGGACCAATTAGCGGCTCAAGACTATGAAAGCACTAATTAATGAGCAACAAGTCAGGGCAGCTATTTCTAATGGAAGAATAGTTGATGCATGGAGTCCAAAAGGGAATGAATCTTCTGGGTGAAGCGCCACCATATGGCATGTGGCTACTAAATCCTTTAAACAAAATTGTTACCTGTCTTTATAAGCACGAAAATGCAATAGAACAACCTTATACAATTTATAACACCTGCAATAGCACCCGAGGTATAACACTAGTAGACTTTTAATCTTTTCTATATCATGTGAGTATGCATGCAAAAAACACCCTTCACACTTCATCGTACGTATACAGTAAAGAGAAGAAGGAACTATCACTTAGAGCTTTCAAAAGACGCCGTCAAGAGACTGTAAGTCAAGGATCTCAAACTCATTTCAGCTAGCAGGTTGCTCAACGAGAACTTATTTCTACAAGAATGAAAATAGTAAAGAGATGGAGCATAAAGCTGTAGTTTGCACAGAATGTCAGCTTACATCTCTTGAAACACAGCCTTTTCCATGTGTCGTGTATGTGTCATTTCCAAACAGAATGCTGTTGTCAGGATTCAAACACATTCGATATCAATCTCCAGAATCACTAAAAACTGGGATGCCGATTCTAAAACATAGCGATCTCGTTTGACGGTTACTTTTCAAAAACAAGTGGCCGCATGGAGCACCTCAACAAAACAATCAAGGCAGCTTTGCGCTGTTGGCGGCATACCCAACTTACACCTTGTGATTTTTCCCCCTCGCTGCCGCAGCCACCTGCTGGCTCCACCTCTTTGACTTTGTTTTTGCTTCTGCCGCTGTCGGCGACTCTGACGCATATTCGAAAAAGCGCTTTTTTAAGTTGTGATGACACCGGTGCTATGATTGTATTTACTGCAAGCTTTCGTAACCAGCTTGCGTGTAATCTCACCACATATTATCCCCCTTTTTTGCAATACCATCCCCCCTGCCCACACACATGGGTACCTTTGCCTGAGACTCTATCGCAAAGGTATGTAGGTCGGCGCAGCACACATTTATACATGATAAACTGTGTGCTGTATGAACCGTGTGCGCGATGAACTGTTGTACAAGCTGAACCGTATAGAGAGAGCCCATAATAGAATTTTGAAAGCATTGGTTTGGGTAACCAGCCTTAGCAGGCGATCCCACGTAACCAAGGTGGAGCTTCCTCGAATCCCAGCACGACGATTTGCTAAGTCATCATTTTATCATTAACAGCATTTAGACTCAAACAATATTAAAACATCATTCATTTGAACATGCACTTTAAAAAGGTCATGCTTAATTACTAACTAAATACTAACCAGGTTGGGTATCACCTTGGTTCTTGGTTCACGCGGGCACGGAAAAAGACGGCCGCCAAGCAGTTGAGCTTGGGCGCGATCAGTAAAGGTCATGCTCCTAACGCTGCCTCTGTCTGCTTTCTGGGGGCTTCAGCCAACCCTTAGCCCTGAGCCTACACCGTTTACATGTCACAAAAAGCACTAACCTAATGCTAAGTGAAAATATAAAATGCTGATTATTGAAATTACTAGCTTGCAAAGTCGTTCGTAAATAGGAACTGACTCCAATACTTATTACATTACTGAACGGGCGCTTATATGTGCATGTATATTGCCACATCAAGATCATTACACTAAAGAAGTATTTATATAATAATAAGTGAAGTGCAATTTTCCACGTAGGCAAATTAGTGACCACTAATTACTTCATGTAATTACCATGGCAAGTAAACATTAGCAACATACATAGAAGCATGAATGAACCACAGAGGAAAACATACACAAAACGCGCACATAGAATATCATTACTTAGCCGGTATCGTTTACTGTAGCAGCTGTTTGAAAGCTATTTATGCTCCTACTTTGAAATAGCGCACTGTGTAGTGGTTACCAGCCATAAAATTTAGAAGAATAATGGACGTTTTGTACACATCATTGTATGGCCCTCAATATATGTGCGTTGATGATACTCACATCAAAACCAATATCACCTTTAGAGGCCATATATGTAGTAACATGACATAGTTATCATGAGTGCTTGCACATACCAATAGCTTATTTTAAGTTTTGAAGTCGCGTTTCATTCTGTGACCATGGTAGGTTTCCTTCATTACTTGCAAAAGATAAGCTCTTAAAACGACAAGATAGCGACCACCCCAGTACACCGGAAGAGTTCCCTACGAAAATCGCCACACAAAGCTTCAACACTGTGGTCTTTCAGCTGCTGAGGAAATTCGACTAGTGCATCGGTGTGTCCAGATTTCGCATTTGTCTTAAGACGTTGTCGGGTAGTTATTGTACAATGCTTCATCCTTCTCAATTATCAAACAAATCATATTTTTTCCAATGCACGACAGTAATAAGCCTCAGTACAAATGCATTACCATTATGAACTGCTGCCCTCAAAAGATAATGTTTTGACGAAAATGATCAAATTGTAGTAAAAAACCAGTTGAAGCCAGTCACCAACATCCTGCCTCTTAATATACTTGTTCAATAAATATGGGCAGTACAAAAAGGCATTGAACGCATAATAGGTGGACAAAGTGCCACAGGATGTTGTTACTGGTATTGTTGTTGTCAACCAAACCACTTTGCTTGTAATCCACTGTTCTGTGAGAGTTAGTATATTTGTGGACAAGTTAAAGCTCTTTGGATTTTACATGCGTGCTCTTACAAGGGCTCTCTTTGGGTAAACGAAACCACTGTGGAAGGCAATTGCTTTAAAGACTGGAACCATCTCACCAACGGTACAATCTGGACATAATTTATTTATTTATTTATTTACTTAAAGTACTCTCAAGGTACAAAAATAGTATAGAGGAATGTGGTTACAAGAAATTGGAACAGCTGAAAAATAAAAACAAAATATTGATACACATCAATGGAAATTGCTCTAAAAATATCAAAACACAGGTGTACATGCGACCTATTTTACACAAATGTTTTCCCATATTACGATCTCAGCTACACTCGGTTGTGATCAACAGAGGCGGCAAGTAAGTTCCTATCGATTTTATCGCATTCGAGCTTCTTTTTCTTGATGTCCTGGTTATGCCTGTTCTCCACTCGCCTGTTCCTTGAGTGTCTGCACAGCCTCCTCTATGCTCTCTGAGGATGGCGGTTCCAGGAAGGGAAACTTCCGCACGTCCGGCAGCCCGAGCGCCACGAGCTGCAGCAGCAGCGAGTTGAGGGGCACGCGCTGGATCTCTGGCATCGAGTACGCGGCCAGCGACTCGTACTCTGCCTCGGAGTAAAGCCGGAAACACACGCCAGGACCCGTTCTGCCTGCGGTGGCAAGTCGACAAGGACGCAGCACCCATAGTTGAAGGATCGCTAAAGAGATACATTTAGGCATGCACGAACATTCAAGCACTTCGAGTATGCGTACAGATATTAAAGCATTCGAATATGCTTCAATACGAATTTAGATTTTCTTGAAATTTCAAGGTATTCGAAATGAATGAATAGGCATCTGTAGACCGCATGTAACCTTCGTAAAGGTTGTTTCACTGCCCCATGAAAGTGGTACACCACGAAAACGCTTATACAAAAAAAAAAAAAAAATTCTGCAGTACTGTGAAGCTTCACTTCAAGGTAAATGAACATATTCCCCTCACGTAGATTAATCATTTGATAAGTTTAAAAACTTGTTATACGGTCTTATATGCTTCAAGTATAGTAGATGTTTGAACTTGACATAATTTACTGGCTATCACTTGTATCCTGCTGAAATTCAAATCCTGCTAATGTTCAAAGTTGCTTCCACTTCATTTTGAACCAAAAAGAAAAACACTGGCAGATGCCTTGTAGTGATTGTAAAGAATATTATGCAGGTGAATCGGGTCACGGCAAATATGATCATTTTTAGGACTCCATACAAACTTTGTGAACCATTTGATCATATAACCATTTGCTTTGACCTATAATTTACTACTTGCAAATCCCTAAAAATAATAAATCATGAATTATTCTTTCAGAACCTTAATGACATTAATATCATTATCAATGGTTAATTATCAGAAGTGAAAATGAAGGTCAAAGTTTTCAGTTTGAATTTTATGCCGAGCTTCGACACGCGAACACGAGTGTGACGTCACCAACTGCAGTCTTTTGCATATTTTGGCCACATTGGGTTGATGAAATTTCCTGAAACTAGCTAAAATATGACTTTGAGTCCCTTAGAATCCGTAAATAATCTTTAGTGACAAATTATTACGTAGGCCCCCACAGATGCCATCAAAATCTATGATGTCATGGCGAGCTGGTACGGGAGCGTCCAAGGCGGCATCACTACCCGTACTTTTTTTTTCAACATTTTCTCGCTTACCAAGTTTATTCTTGTGGTGAGAATTGTGCTTTGGGTATTGCGAAATTGTAATTCAATAATGAAAAAAAAAAGATTCACTAGTCAGTGTTTCCTTATAGATGTTAGAGTATGGCTAACATCGATAAAGGAACACTGAAGGAACACTTGTTATCAGCAAGTCTGGAACATTCAGGTGTCAAAGGCCTCAGGATCTGGTGTGTCTTGAAAATCCGCATTCACTAACATAGCCAGACCTAAAATAGACTGAGGACTCTCAGCACATCCGTATAAGCAGTGTTTATATACGATAGAATAAAGCAATTTCAAATAAAAGTTGAGGCAGCAGGAAAAGATGAAGACAGAAACAAATAAAGCAAATGCTTGTCTTGTTGTGGTTCTTCTATTGTTAATGTTCACACATTAGACTGCCTCAATTTGCATTCAAGTTGCTGCAACTGAAGGCAAGTTTTTGGGAAGAAGGAGATTCTTTTGCTGTATCTACATCATGTTACGAACTAAGACATGCCCCACAACCTTCTGTACAGTGCCGCCGATGTCCCACATGTTGCAGGAAGTCAGTAAATTTTTGTAGCCTCTGGAATAGCATTGAGTCGAGCCCGTGAGACCTGCTCGTGTAGATTGGTGGCACGCTAATTCCCCGAAATTCCCACCTACAAGAAACCACACCTTTCTGCATTGTCACACATACCTTGACATTGTTTGTAACCTTGTGCTGCCCATAAGAAATCGTTTTGTGAAAATCTCATCTAGCTATACGATTTATATTTATATTATGTGAGCAAGTGACACTAATGCGACGTTTACGTCTCTCTCTTTAAAAAATAGGATTATCAGCATTCGTAATGTGCACATACCTTCTAGTTATTCTAATCAAGTGGAGTGCCTCTGACACTTCTACTCCACTGATTCTTGCAAAACATAGCTGATATATTGGCAGTACCGACTGCTGACGCAACGTTGTGAAAGCTGCCTCAGCAATCCAAACACTCCTTAACGTTATGGCAGCAATGCGCGCTACTATGGGTCCCACGAAACCGGCAGAATCCTCCCTTACCTGCACGGCCTTTGCGTTGTTCGGCACTGGCACGGCTGATCCAGAACTCCTTGAGCTTTTGCATGTGACTGGCCGAATCGTAGCTCATCTCCTTCACCTTGCCTGAGTCAACGACAAACCGAACGCCGTCAATGGTCACAGGATGTCTCGGCAATGTTGGTGGACAGAATGCACTTCCGCGTCTTTTCCGGTGCGTAGTCAAACACCTGAAGCAGAAGCAAAGTGTTAGCACTTGTTTTTGCAATGAATGAAAGCACTTGTATACATACAAGCATCGCACATGCAAAAATGCATTGTTGCTTAAAATTTTTTCTGTTCATGTGCATGAGAGGCATGAACACTGCCTCAGTTTAATAGTGGTAAGCATATTACCAGAAACATAATTTCAGACGTCAACAATTGCAATAGCTCACAACAAAGACATTATAACTAAGATGCATCTGGTATAAAAACTGCTTATTTATATGTGATATTTGTTATAAACAAATAGCCGTTACTTTGCTACAACACCAAGGAAGATTCAAGACAATTGCAGTTTTATCGAGACTAGTGAATCAAATGCGAAAAGAATGCAACCTAACTATTATCTGTTCTGCCTTTAAAGTATCTATGCTTTACATATGTATGATTGTAAATGCCCGTCTAAAGATTCATGTTCGTTTCATTAACCTTTTTTGTTACACTTGTAAGAAATGTTCTCCTTGTATTACTGCATATTGTTATCGACCATAACTACTTGTGTTTACCATATCTGATTCTGTTACAGTGTTTTTGTTCATCTGCAGTAATAATTGCATCTTTAACTGCCTGGTGATCCTCACAACCCAGTTGAATATCAGCTTCAATTCAACTTTTTTATAGCATCTGTATGTGTTCCTTATATTTAGATCTGATTGTATAAGACTTCCAGCTGTGTCCCATTTTAAAATGCGAACGTTACTCACAGTGAATTAAACAAAGGCTGCTGTTCAAGTGTTGAAAAAAAAAAATACAACAACAACGGCATTGATCAACAAAGGCAGACCTTGTCCTGTTCAGCCAGTGAGAGTGTACTGTGCAAGGGGAGGACGATCCAGTGGCCGTTCTGGTTGGCGTATTCTTCTGCCGCCTCCTGCACGGCCGAAATCTCGCTCATGCCACTCAGGAACACCAGCAAGTCACCACGCTCGTTGCTGGGGTACTTGTTGTCGATGAGGCTCAACAGCTTGACGTAAGGCGCCGGATCGAGGCGCCCTGTACGAGAACGCTTCTCCTCCACAGTGACGGGGTGGTATTGCACTTGAATAGGGAACAGGCGGCCAGGAACCTGGATCGAACAAAACTCGCTGTGTCGCTTATGCATTCGCCAAAGCCAACTCCCAGGCAAAAGCCATTTTTTTCTTCTCAATAAATATACTGGTCCTCTTCCCTCCCCCTCAGAAGCTTTCTGCATCTAATGTGGTTTTGCACAGCTTCTAAGATCAATGGCATCACAAGCTTTAAGCACCCCATCTGCTTTGAATGGCCTCCGTGATTGGGCCCACCTTTGACCAAGCGATTATGTCCTGTGATATCATGCAATCTCACGTCATGTGACGTCATGGTGACATCACAAATTTGGGCAATACGGTGACATCGTTGCATGATGACAATTTATTTGCGCCACTCTTTCCGATTCCAAAAATACCATCAGTCAATTTTTGCATTTTATGAGACATCTACGAGTTGCCTAACTTGAGTGAGGCCCGAAATTACAGTATCACTGATGTAAGTGGACACCTTAGGCCAAAGTGTCCATTTGTCTCTTTAGGCCAAAGTGCCATCGAGCGCTAAATACAGCTGTGATACTGTACACGAATTCAGAAAAATGTGCACGGGAGACTGGAATATCATGATGATGCTTTCCCTAACTTGATGCACCGAATTATGGCGTCACTGATGTATACGAATACATTGAATTAAAGTACCTTCAAATAAAAACAGCAGGAGGCTACAGGTTTGAGCTATGTGTTTGGAGTGACATAAACGGTATGAAAATAAAACTTGGAAAAACAGAAAGAGACAGGATGGAATACCACTTTTTCTTCTATGTTAAAACTCTTCTTCAGTGCTTTTGGGTAAATTAGTAGAAATAGTGGTTCTTCATTACTTGAAGCACAGTTCATACATCAAGTTTGCCAAAGGTGGGATGGAGGCGATAGGAAAAACATGACAGGTACCATACAAACATATTATAAAGTATAAAAAAATACTGAAATACTGCTTCAGATGTCATATAACTATACTACTTTTCGTACATACAATGCAATACTGTGAAAATTATGCGAGTAGTTCAGTTGCAAAATGTGTAAGTCTGTATGTCTCTTGAATTCTGTTATTGTAAACATAGCCTGTGCAAGGGGTTACAACTGCACATTACAGGAACTGGAGGCTACAGCATGCTAACAGTGACACTAACATATCCAGAACAGCCCATTGACAACTGTACAAACAACATAGTTCATTCAATTTAAAGCACATCTTAGAACTGAAAGAATACAGCCCTTCAACCTTCCTATTATCGATAATCACCAAAAACGTGCTCTGCAGAGAATCATTCTTTCAAGAGGCTTCATGAAACATTAACATGTTTTTGCCATAATACCACATGCCATATGTGTACTCAGCCTTCTCCTGCTTAACAATAGGAAGCTTACCTATGGTAGCTTGTGAAATTACCTAGATGATGTTAACACTGATGCGCCGACAGAGGCAACAAGAGAGTTCCACTTACCTGTACTACGGGACAGTTGTAGAAATACTGGGAGAAAAGCTGAATGTTGATGGTTGCAGACATCAGGATGATCTTCAAGTCCCTCCTGTGCTGCATGAGGCACTTCACCACTCCCAAGAGGAAGTCACACGTCAGGTGACGTTCATGGATCTCGTCGAGTATGATGACATTGTAATCCTTCAGCATGGGGTCACTGGCAATCTGCCGCAACAACAGTCCCTCCGTCAGGAACAACATCTTTGTGTGTTTGCTGCGATGCTTCTCAAACCGAATTTGGTAACCAATGTGAGTCCTGTACTCATTCAACGTCTCGTAGGCGACACGCTTGCAGAGGGAGATAGCAGCAATCCTGCGTGGCTGTGTGCACGCGATGCCTTCCAGTCCTGAGCCGAGCAGGTACTGCGGTATCTGGGTAGATTTGCCGCAGCCGGTGTCGCCGGCGATCAGCACGACGCTGTTCTCCGACACCACTTTCAGGATGGTGTCCTTGTACTGAGCTATTGGGAGGTTCTTTTGGAACTCGCGCAGCTTCTTGAGCTTCTGGAACTTTTGCCTCTGCAGAAAGTCGAGGTACAGATGGAAGACAGTTCGGACTTCAGCCACGTCTTCTTCAGTGAGGGAGTGCGACGCGTCACTGCTGTCGATATGAACGCCGGCGTCAAGCATGAGCACTTTGGGCTCCTCTGTGAATATGCAAAAGTTCACTTTGTGGACGGGGTCGTAAGTTGGAGGCAGGCCCAGTGACGGCTCAGCACACTCCTGTGGGTCAGCTGGAAGAAAATATCCCATTTCAATTGCAAACAACATATGAGGTGTCTGCTGAAATAAAATGAAGCTACATGGAGCACAATCAATGCGGAGTACCAGCTAGAAGATGCTGTGGCTGGGCAGCTTCTAGTTTTTAAAAATGCTGCAGGTTGAAGAGAGCCCTGTAAAGGACTCTCAAATACTATGTATGTGACGAAAGGCTTACCACTTGTCCTACAATCAGCTGCAGACCTATGTGCAATGGGCTTTGTTTCTCTTAACAAAGGATGTGCATGGCAAAAGCTTTGATCCCATAGCATGATCACAAGAGATACAGGCGAGTGGCTGAAAACTGAAGTAAGACATTCACAAGTATATCAACAAGGTTAAACTACGATTATACTGTGACTTAAAAGCCTTGCGGCAACCAAACATATTTGCACAGCGCAAGACTACGAGTAGTTACGACGTGACTACTTGTAGTCTTGTGCTGTGCAAATATGTTGATTCCTAATCACCAACTAGCCCAAGCATCTGTCTTATCAACTTGCAGCAACATGATCAATACCTTTGAAACTGTGGACCTTGGATACCTATCTTCATTTATTAAAATGCAGGCTACCGAGGTGTCTTAAGACTTGTAAACTGTGAAAGAATTCATGAAGGCCACACTAATGATGCATCATTGGTAGGCATCCACCCTCAGCATTATCTGGTTTTCCATACCTGTGGAGCAACTATACCACACTGAAAGACATATAATATTCTTTTTAAATATGACATATTCAGTATGACGCATGCTTTATCGTTGCAATTAAATGATAACAAGTTCAAGGAAGCCTTTCATTAATCCTTAAGAGTGTAAAGGAGTTCAGGCCAGCTGAATACGTGAACCAATTTTCTGGATGAAAACCGTGGCCAATAAAGAACAGAAAAGCCAATTATACATAACCACCTTTACTTGTATAAAATGCCGTTGTGTTGATGGCTGCAGTAAAAAAAAATTAAATAAGAGTAATAGTAACACACAAAAGCACACTGACTTCTTTGTAGCCACAGTGTTTAATCAAGCAGTGAATCTACAAATTACTGCTGAATGAAGCATTACTTAGCTAAGAAATAATCGAGAATCGTAGACATGGAAACTACACAATTTTCCTCCACATAATGTAAAAGTAAGAAGCACATACCTTTCGAAGTGCCAGCCTCAAGTGCAGTTTTCTGCTTTCGCTCTTCATACTTCTTGAGGAACGTCCAGAAGTTGTCGTATTGCTTAGAATTCCTGCGAGAAACAAACATTCACCGCTACTGCAAAGCAAGAGGGCATGCAGTGTCCCATAGCATAGTGTACACATCCATAAATAACCAAGAAGACCAAATTAAACTTAATGATGCCTTGCGCTCAATTAACGAATGGTGTATAAGGTGGGGACTAAAAATAAATCGTTCAAAAACAAATTCCGTTACGTTTACCAACAAAACGTTACCCCTTCATTTCACATATTTCATAGGAAATGCTGCAATCACGAGAGCTGATCGGGTTAAATATCTGGGAGTTACACTTACCAGTAACCTCAGTTGGGAAACGCACGTTGAAAATGTGTGTTTGGGTGCACTGAAGAAATTATCCTTTTTGAAATGAAAACTGCGTAACACTCCTCCCACGTTAAAACTAAAAGCGTATAAAGCCCTCGTGCGACCAAAATTGGAGTATGCCGACATTATTTGGAGCCCTTGGCAACAATATTTGATTAGGAAAATAGAATGGGTCCAAAATTTAGCTCTGCGCTTTATATATTCCGCTTACTCCCGACAACATAGTGTAACTAATCTACGTAATAGGGCAAGCCTACAAATACTAGAACAGCGCAGGATAATATCCAGATTAAAACTCGTCTACCAACTTGATCACGGGGACTTTAAATTATCACGGGAACGATACCTTCAGCAGCCTTCTAAACTTTCAGCTAGGACAAATCACAACAAAACGTTTAGGCAGCCACTTAGCCACATTAATGCCCACAAGTTCGCTCTCTTTCCTCGCGCAATTTTTCATTGGAACGCATTACCTGCGGAAATAGTAAATGCTGCCTCGACGGCTTCATTCACTCAACAGATAGAAAAGATTAATTTCACCATATAAGTGATGTATGCAGAAAATAGTGTCATTTGACTGCAAATCATCCGGCTACAAATGTTGAAAATATTCTTAGTTGAGCGCAGTTCTGTTGAACAGCGAGAAAATATATTTGACTTTTATGTACTTGATAGTTATGTATTCTTTCATTTATGCCCTGTACTCCAGTGTATTACTAGTTATTGCTTGAATGTATTGTTTGTATCCCACTCCTGCATGGGCCCGGGTAGGGCCTGCAGTATCTGTAAATAAATAAAAAATAAAATAAAAGGCAATTCATTAGAGGGAACTTTGGCACTGCAATTGTTCCGACACCTTGGAAACGATTGGCAGCACACAAATTTGCCTAGTCTTCGTGCTTGCGGCTTCGAACGCATTTGTGGCGTTGTTTACTGCGGTGTTCTGGTTTCGTTTCAAATAAAACAATGAACTGTTATGAACTTCACAAGCTGATTCGAATTAGCGGGCCTAAAATGTTCAGGCGGTGAAGTGCAAATGCCGATCGTAGTTTTATGACAAAGCAGCTTCAAGCCATGTGAAGCCAAGTGGAGCTGAAAGAACAAAGATCAGACAAATTTGTAGACTACTCATCGTTTTCAGGCTGGCTGAAATATGTGCATTGCAGCTCCCATAGACACCAGTGCCCCTCACCTAGTAACATAATAAGAGGGGTTAAAAGTCAACCCGATACATTGACATGATAGGGTGGGGGGGCACAGCGGCCCACTTTGGTGCTTCTGAAGAGGAACACTGCGATTGTCTATGCTTGTACATATAGTATTGTCTACTACTGAAAGTCGTAGAACATGGATAGTGAACACAGTGTTAGTACAAAGGCACAGGCTAATAAAAAGTTCTTCTAGTAGTCATAGATGTGCGTTGTATAAAGCATCTAGCAAGATATAACAGAGTGGGTGTACTGTTTGGTCATCGGCCTGACATTTTCTCTAAATGCGAATCAGTGAGACGCCACTGAAGAGAACACTTAAATTTGTTGTATAAATCGGTACTGCCACAAGAAGAGGTTTGGTAATAAAATGTGCAAAAACGAATGAAATCTGCTTGCTTTGATGCTTAGATATGTTCCCTTCATGACCAGATGTATTTACCAATTCCTGCAAATCCATCGGACAACCTGCAAGCAAAGCTAGGTTGTCTGCAAGCACCAGTCGAGGGGCTCCATTCTGATAAGATTACATTGAATGAAGATGTTGTCTGCATGATGTAGACTCTCAGAAGTCCAATGACCGAAATTGACTACTTGCCCGGCTTTCTCAACTGGCCAGTCAGCACACACTAAAAGCGACATTGTAGTGGCATCTACTACACAAAACATGGCTTGGGTCTCTGTTGTAAACTACGTGGGTTTCTGTTGCAAACTACACTTTTTACAGATCTATGAAGCGCGAAACGTTTTCCCAAGTTGCTTTCTTAGCACGAGCAACAATTAACAGACAGAATACATCCTTGCATTAGCGCTTCACCAATTTCTCATAGTTCTTTAGCTTTTGCGGCATTAACACATAATTTGCACTAAATTGTCCCTATATATTTCTCTTAGCTGCTCCACAAAAGTCTTCAAGCTTTGTTTCTTAAGAACATCTACTCCTTATTCACAGTCAAAGCTGTAACCTTCTTTAAAATATCTAAAAATGCTAACCTAAGGTTTTAATTTGAGCCATAGAAATATAAATGTGTGCTGGTTCGTACAATATATGATCATCCAAGAATCTGCCTGACTCTAACTCAATGATTACCTCAATAGACAATCTTTCTTGAAGCACATAAACAACTTTTGAAATATTATTGACGTTGCCGCATACAGTTCATACAAGCTTGTGTTCTTCTTATCACTTTTGTATATTATAGGAATATTTATGCCGATTTCGTGGCAATGTAATTGGAGCATTCACCATTTCTATTGCTTTTGCAATGATGCGTTAGCTGTAACTTGCTGGACCTTCCGAAGTAGTGACAGTATTATGGGCGCACTTTCTGAGGCGTATCGGTGACGCACAGACTTAGAAGTACTTGTCGTAGGGCTAGTTGGTTCGTCATACTGAGGGGTAACTCTAGACGCCTAAAGCACCACAGGAAGAAATCATCACAGAGAAAGAGCGTCTACTCGCAACGGATTTATTTGCAGGAGAAACGCAGGAAAATATATAGCCCCACACGCATGTGCAGAGCACACTACTTCATCTAGTCACATGACCACAGACATAAACTGAGGACGTTCAATCGGCATATCTAATCAAGCAACGAAGCGCAAAAAACAAACTTAGACTTGCGCAAGACGACTGACGTGTCACTTATGCACAAGTCACCTTTTTTCTTTATCCAGAACGCTCCCATTATTTCACGGGCCAGAGCATCTGGGCTTTTGGCGAGGACAGAAACGCTTGAAAACCTCGCCTCACAAGAACAGGAACGGCAATGCGCCGGCAAATGTGCTCTGGAATTATTTCGAATTGAAAGCTCATGTTCCCTAATTCTCACGTTCAAACACCGTCCAGTTTGGCCGATGTAAACCCGGCCACAACTAAGTGAGATTAAGTAGACAACACCCACTACGCAAATCACATACATCGAAGCGTGTATTTTTCCACAGGTGGAGGCGCTCGGTGTTTTAGAAATACGTGGGCATAGGCCAGCCAGCTTTCGTGGCGCAGAAAAAACAACAGACACATTGTACCTGCTTGCCACATTCTTAAAGTTGTGCGCTACCTTATGAACATATGGAACAACCATAGGTCGTTTATCCCTCGGCTGCCTGCATTTTCGTTTGCCCTTGAACTTTTGAAGGAGGATTTCCGAAACGGATACAATGACAGAGTTAGGATAGCCAGCTGAATGCAGCCGCCTAACCTGATTCAAGTAGCTATCCTGCATCCTGTGATGGCAAGATTTCAGTAGCGCACCCTCGAGACACATGGTTGCAATGGCTCTTTTTACAAGTTTAGAATGAGCTGCATCAAAAGGTAAAAGCTCTTTGCGCGATTGTGGATGATATGCCCATGCTAACCACCTTTCGTGTATGCATGAGCTTCCCAATGACAATAAATTGCAGTTTTTAGACTTGAGCATCATGTTCTCGGAGCGACACGTGTGCTGGGCGTATCATCCACGTTCGCGCTTCGATGTATGTGGTTTGCGTAGTGGGTGTGGTGTACTTAATCCCACTTAGTTGTGGCCGGGTTTACATCGGCCAAACTGGACGGTGTTTGAACGTGAGAATTAGGGAACATGAGCTTTCAATTCGAAAAAATTCCGGAGCACATTTGCCTGCGCATTGCCGTTCCTGTTCTTGTGAGGCGAGGTTTTCAAGCGTTTTGATTCTCGCCAAAAGCCCAGATGCTCTGGCCCGTGAAATAATGGAAGTGTTCTGGATAAAGAAAAAAGGTGACTTGTGTATAAGTGACACGTCAGTCGTCTTGCGCAAGTCTAAGTTTGATTTTTGCGCTTCGTTGCTTGATTAGATATGCCGATTGAACGTCCTCAGTTTATGTCTGTGGTCATGTGACTAGATGAAGTAGTGTGCTCTGCACATGCGTGTGCGGCTATATATTTCCTGCGTTTCTCCTGCAAATAAATCAGTTGCGAGTAGACGCTCTTTCTCTATGATGATTTCTTCCTGTGGTGCTTTAGGCGTCTAGAATTAGCCCTCAGAAGCACAGACTGTTTCGCACATGTGGGGGAAAACTAGGGACACAATGCAATACGCGCTCTGCGTACTCCCGTAAGTGTGAAAACAGCCTGTATACAATTGTCAGGCTGAGAGCACGCATTAAGGCAATTGTTACGATTATAAGAGACGCCCTAGTGAAGGGCTCCGGAAACTTCGACAACTTGTTGTGCTGTGGCTATCTATATTAAGTACACGGGCCTCCAACATTCCGCCTCCATTCAAATGAGGCCGCAACAGCTGGGTTTCGGTGCCGCGACCTTTGGGTCGGCGCAGTCGATCCCCGTACCAACTACACACCGTGGCGGAGGCGCGTTGATACAAAACTCGTTAAAGAACATCGGCCTACCTGTTGATGGGACTGTTGTCGCCAAAAAATATTCGAGAAAGTTCATGTCGAAACAGGGACAGATTCTCACGTTCCCCAGTTTGACTCTGTTTCCGTGCTGTAGGTTGGACGCGGACGGAGTCATTTGGTGAGCGTTCTCGCTGAGCAAAATTTCTAATCGCACTGCGGCGGTCATCTGGGTAGTCGCCACTGTCGCGTCTGGTTGAACTGTGCCGTCGGCCGAGCTCTTTGTGGCCACCGTCGGGATCTCCGTGACCGTCACTGCCATTCCTCGACGACGAGCTGCATCGTCGTCCGTGTTTGCTGCGATCGCTGTCGCCCCGGTCGTCGCTGTGCTTTCGTTTGCGACTGAACTTGTGATAGTGCCTCCTATCGTGACCTCTACCCATTGTGGTTGGTACTAACGTTTTTCGCGACAAGAGCTCGAAGAAGGAAACTGCAGCGCGAGACGGCCATGTGATTATGTTTACGTTGCGCCTGAATGCCGATGTTGATGCAGCTTTTGTTTCTAGACTAATGAACATTTTGAGAAGCTATATCATGGCTGCTAGATAGCTATATTAACCAATATACTGGCTATTTGGAAGCACTTAATAAAATTTACCAGTAAATTAAAACGTTTCACGTAGCTTTTACAAATTCGACATGACGCTTCATTTTAAAATGGCGCTCAATATAAAGGTGCTATAAATGCTCAGTTTCAAAGAGATACTGTGATGTAACTGTGAAGGCAACCCTTATTAGGCCCAGAAGGCACGTTGAAGCGACCGCAACCAAGGCACAGAACTCTGGCAAGCCAAGTCCCCACAGCAGAGGAAGATGACGACCACTCATGATGATGAACATGTGTAAAGATAGTAGATGTGCTTAATAAATGCCTACACTAACTCCCCCCCCCCCCCCCCCCCCACGTGAAAGCGGTGATCCTTACCGCAGCTCTCGGCTGCAGTTTGAAGCGAAGAGGAACGCCGTATGAAAGGCTTCGTGCGGGATACGTGGACTATGTCTGCTGCCCTGTAGCGGTGGTCCGTCGGAAGAAGAACGGGTGCCAAGCGATAATTCACAGGAGACGTTTGCTCCAAGACAGTGTAGGGGCCAATAAAACGTATTTGAAACTTCTCGCACAGGCCGGGAGTGCGAATGGGTGTAAGAAGGAGGACTTGGTCGCCAGGGCTGAAGGACACGGCACGATGAGAGGCACTATATTCAAGCTTGCGATCCTGTTGCTTGGCTTCAGTGTTGACGCGAGCCAGCTGGCGACAATGAAGTAGACGAGACACGTATTCTTCACTTGAAGATGAACATGGTTTCACAGGCGCAGAGAAGAAGGAAACATCGAGGAAAGAAGATGGGAAGCAACCGTGGACGAGGTAGAACGGCGAGTAACCGGTTGTGCGCAGTACAGAGGTATTATACGCAAAAGTTAAAAGTGGCAAAATGGTGTCCCAGTTTCTGTTGTCAGGTTCGATATACATCGCTATCATATCTGACAGTGTACGGTGAAAGCGCTCTGTCAGGCCATTCGTCTGAGGATGATAAATGGAGCTTGTTTTGTGTGTTGTGCCGGATGTCTTGAGCACTTCTTCGACGAGTTCTGAAGGAAATACTCTGCCACGGTCGCTCAGAATCACACGAGGAGCTCCGTGTCGAAGGATTATTGCTCGAAAGATGAAGTTAGCCACTTCTGAAGCTGATTCAGAAGGCGCGGGAGCTGTTTCGGCGTAGCAGGTCAGGTGGTCGACAGTTGTAACTATCCATCGATTGCCCGTGACCGTCATAGAAAGCGTACCATACAAGTCAACGCCAACTACCTCGAATGGTTGCAGGGGATACGGGAGCGGTTGTAATTGTCCACTTCGAGTTGATGTAGGTAGCTTGCGACGCTGAAAAAGGGCGCGTGAAGCAACGTACTTCGCGACACAGGTGGACAAGCCCGGCCAGTAGTAGTGCCTTCTTATGCGGTCATACGTTTTCTGGAAGCCCATGTGTTCAGCAGACATGTCGTCGTAGTATGTATTGAAGACTTGAGCCCCAAAGAGAGCGAGGTAGAACGGGCACCCAGCGTTGACCATCAGGGTGGTAGGTATGACGGTACAGGACGTGGTTGTTGAGCTTGAATTGCGTCAGCTGTCGGCGAAGACGGGCGTTAGGGGGCCGGCAAGTCCCGTCAAGACGGTCCATGATGCGGCGACAGTAAGGGTCAGCACGTTGGTGAGATAAGAACAAACCACACTCGCTTGGAGAAGTTGGGTCCACAGTAGCTAATGACGAAACATGTAGGGAAGAGACGGCCGAAAGCTTTTCGGGTGTGGCAGTGGCGGGTTTGTTAAGTGGCTCCGAAGAGAGCGGGCAACGTGAAAGTGCGTCGGCGTCTTGATGTTTGTTTCCCGACTTGTATGTAATCGTGAAGTCATATTCTTGTAAGCGAAGAATCCAGTGACCAAGGCGGCCGGACAAGTTCTTGATTGTCGAGAGTCAGCACAAGGCGTGATGGTCCGTAACCAAAGTAAAGTGGCGGCCGTGGAGATAAGGTCCAAACATTTGTATTGACCATACGACCGCTAGGCACTCCTGTTCGGTGATGGTATAGTTCTTTTCGACAGGGGTCAATGCACAGCTTGCGTATGCGACGACTTTCTTACGTGAAGATTTTTCTCGCTGTAGGAGAATTTCACCAATGCCTCGGCCACTAGCGTCTGTATGCAGGAGCGTAGGCCCGGTTTCGTCGAAATGGCAGAGGAGTGGTTCGGATGTGAGTGCACACTTCAGTTGGGCAAACGCCGCTTCACATTCAGGAGACCACACAAAGGCGACGCCTGATCCGAGCAACTTGTGCAATGGTGAAGCTATTGAGGCGAAGTCTTGAATGAATCGGCGAAAATAAGAAGCGAGGCCGAGGAAACTGCGCAAATCTTTGGCTTTTGCAGGACGCGGAAAGTGATGGACAGCTGAAATCTTGTCTGGATCGGGACGAATACCATCCTTGCTTACGATGTGGCCTAACCCTTTAATCATCTTGCTCGCAAAACGGCACTTCTCGGTGTTCAGCTGAAGGCCTGCGTTTGCAAGGCACGTAAGAACTTCGTCCAGTCGTTGCAAGTGCTGAGGGAAGGTTGACGAGAAAATAACGATATAGTCTAAATAGCACAAGCAGGTCTTCCATTTCAAGCCTCGTAAAACTGTGTAGATCATCCGCTCGAATGTTGCTGGAGCATTGCAAAGGCCGAATGGCATGACGTTGAATTCGTACAGCTCATCTGGTGTTGAAAACGCTGTCTTTTCTTTGTCATCCTCGTGCATGGTTATTTACCAGTAACCTGAACGCAGGTCTAGGCTTGAGAAGTACTCGGCACCTTTCAGTGAATCCAAAGCATCGTCTATGCGCGGCGTGGGGTAAACATCCTTGTAGGTAATCTTACTAAGTGCTCTGTAGTCCACACAAAATCGCAGGGCGCCATCTTTTTTCCTTACGAAAACAACGGGGGATAACCAAGGACTCGTGGAGGGACGTAGAATGTTCCGTTGCAGCATATCGGCTACATTTTGTTGAATGACCTCAAGCTCGGACGAAGAAACGCGATATGGTCGACGGCGTACGATGGAAGTGACATTGGCCTGGATACGATGCCTAATAATGGACGTCTGGCCCAGAGATGAGGAATGGGCATCAAACAGTCTACTATGCTTTTGTAGCAAGGCAAGCAACCCATCTGTCTGTGAAGAGGTCAGTTCTGGATTAATAGTCGTAGAAAAAACAGAAACGCTTGATGAACGTCCAATAGAAGGAAGGTCAGAACACGCTGGCATAAACGGGACAACAGAGACAGGTTCGGATTCAGTAACGCAAGCCGTTGTGGTGCCTTTAGGAATGAGAGTTTTCTTAGACGTTTGGTTTGTAGCGTAGAGAAGTCCGAGGCCATTGTGGAACCGCGCTAGACCTAAAGCAAGGGCTATACCTCTTGCGAGACAGCGTGCAGATGGTTGGACAAACACGTCACCAGAGTCGATCACATTAGAAATGGTAGCTCGGTATCTTCAGCAGCGAGCAAGTGAACGGGCTTGTCATCCGCATACAGGGCATGGTCAGTTTCCATCATATGAACAACATTTTCTCGACAGCAGATGGAAGCGTTCGCCGTAGACAGCAAGTCCCAGCCTAAAATAAGTTGGTGGGCACACGAACTCAGCACAGCAAATTGCACAAAATGAAGAAGACCAGCTATGAAAACACAAGCGGTGCACATAGCGGCAGGTCTAATGGCGTTTCTTTGAGCAGCGAGCAGTGTAGGTCCATCATAAGGGGTGGCTACTTTTCGCAAACGTGAGCACAAGGAACGATCAATCACAGACAAACAAGTACCAGTGTCTATTAAAGCATCCACGTACACACCTTTTGAAACAGATATCGTATTATATGGATGCACTGGAGGAATTTCTGTCTTTTCGTTCCATGCAGCTTTTCCTCCAAAAGCTGCAGAGGTTAGTTTTCCGGGCGTTGGTTGGTGAATTGCGAGACAGGTCGCAATAGAGACGTGGAGCGGCGGAGGGGTGAGGGTGATCGGCGTCTAGTAGAGCGGTACGAAGTGGTTGGCTCAGATGTCGCAGAGGGAGACGGTGAGCGACGTAGCGGCGGATCATGAGGACGACGTTGGAAAGCGTACCAGCTTGTCCCATCATCCCGTCCGTAGGTGTCGAATCCACGAAGCTCGTCCTGCTGACGCCTGAGAGACGCGTGCAATGTGGCCCCGATAGCCGCAGTAATAACTGATTGGACGAGGCGGCTGCCATGGTGGGTGAAAGGGATGGCTAGGCGCACTCGGAGTTAATGAATCCAGTAGGACAGGCGTCGAGTGTGCGGGCATCGGTTGTACGACGGGTGGTGAGCCAGCGAGGACTTGTGCGTACGTCGGCTGGAGTCGAGGTTATGCAGAGTCTACATACGCTGGCCCGGTCATGGACGCCAACTCCTCTTTGATAACGGCGCGCAAAACAGTGTTGGAGGAGGGAGGTGGACTCGGTGTCATTGAGAGGCCGAAAGATATAGCTCTTCTCATATAATCGCCCGGATCATGGGACGCAATGCGGCATCAGTCGTAGTGGTGTTTTCAGCACCGTCCGGCGGTAGCCGCTGGGACTCAAGTTCCTCTTGGCGTTGGCACGTGGCAACAACGTCAGCGACTGTGGTCGGGCTTTGCATGACCAAAGCACTGAACGCGACCGGGCCGATCCCTTTCAATAAATGACGAACTCTCTCTGATTCAGACATGGATGTGCTGAAACGGTGACAGAGAGCAAGCACATCCTCTATGTACGATGTGTAAGACTCACCGCATTGTTCCTTGCGAGCATCCAGTGTCTTCTTCGTGAGAGCTGAACGAACCACCGAGGTGCCGAAAATTTGGCGAAGCTGTTGCT